TCTGTAACTCTAGTTCTGGAAGATCTGATGCCCTCTTCTGGACTCCATGAGTATTGCATGCATGTGGTGCACATACATACATGTAGGCAAACACATAAAATAAATTAATATAATCCTTAAAAGTCTAGCCTGGAAAGCATTTTTAATATTCTTAGTACACAGATCTGCTAGTTAAACTTTTTGTATTTAAATTTTTCTCTATTCTATCAACAGTTTACCTCCCAGTACTTTAAAGATGTTGTCTTTGGTCCTTCCTTTCTTTTGTGTTACTTCTAACAAGAAGCCTGATGTCATTTTGTTCCTATTTTTATGTTTTTTTACTTCTGGCCTGGAGCCATCTATATAGTGTTTGTGTTTTGGATTTTTTGAGACAGGGTTTCTCTGTAGCTTTGGAGGCTGTCCTGGAACTCACTCTGTAGACCAGGCTGGCCTCAAACTCACAGAGATCTGCCTCCCAAGTGCTGGGATTAAATATGTTCGCCGCCACCACCCAACATAAATATGTTATTTTTAGTAAACTCCAACCTTGCTTCAGATTTCTTTTTTTCTCTCTATTTCATTTTGGATAATTTATGTTGTTGGTCCATCAATTTCTTCTGTGATGTTAAGTATACTATTAAGTTCATTTACTGTATTTTTCATCTCAGCCATTGTGATCTCAAAATATTATCTGTATGATCTTTCACACTTCCATGCCTCCATTTAATATTGTGAAGAAGCAGAGTAATACTAGGTATTTAATCACACGCCTCTAATGCCAACACTCTAGGCCGAGGTAGAAGGATTCTGAGTTCAAGACCAATCTAGGCTACATAGTGATACCCTGACAAAAAGGAGGGGATGCAGAATAATGTGGAAACCTGTTACTGACTTTGGTTTTGCTTGCTGATACCCTCTTCATTGTGAGTTGTATTTTCCTGTCCCATATCTTTGAGTTTTTGATCTTGGAAACCAACTTAGGTAATTGCAAAGCATGTCTCATTAGTTTATATCTCCAGGATTTACTCTTTTATTATCCATTATCCATTGTCTTGAAAGCCAATGTCTTGTGGCTTCCCCTAGGACAGGTATGGTGGTGTTGTGTACCTTTACTCTCAGTAGTTGGGAGGTAGAGACAGGAGGATCTCAGTGAGTTCAAGACCAGTTGGAGATACAAAGTGAGACCCTTTCTCAAAAAAAAAGAAGAATGGATTAATACCTTATACACCATTCTGCATTATTTTTTCAACAAGTTAGATGTTATGTTTGCTTATAACAGTTTTTCTTTTTTGTTGCTGTGTAGTATTCATTATATTTACTGCTGATGGCAATTTGTGTAGTTTGTTTTTCTGCATGAAGTGCTGTTAGGAACATCTCCATGTGTCTTTTTGGAGGAACATGTATAATAGTAGAATTGGTAGGTCATGGGGTAAACTATGCCCATGTCAGTGACATCTTCCCCAGAATGTTTCTAATGTGACTTTACCTGTGTACACTCTCTCAAATAGTGTGAGTTCCAGTTGCCCAACCTTTGCTGTGTCTGATGTTGTCTATGTGTATTCCCTTCTGAAACCCAAGAGAAGAGAACAGAACTGACACTCTTCATTAAAATTACCTGGTCAGGGCCAGTGAGTGGGCTCAGCAGGTAGAAATGCTTGCATGCCAGCCTGATGGCCTTGTTTCGATCCCCCAGTCTCACGAGGTGGCAAGAAAGAGATGATTCCTTAAAGCTGTTCTCTGACCTCTACAAACATACCCTGGCACATGCATGCCTGCTCATGTTCCATTCCTCACCCCCTTACAGATACACACAATAAAAAACAAAAATCAAAAAAAAAATCAACTGTTTAGCTTGTAATGGTATAATCTTAGCACTTGGAGGATGAGGAATTGAAGGTCAGCCTAGGCTGCATAAAACCCTGTTTCTAACCCCTAAATTAATTAATTAAATACCATTATGTGGGTTGTCTTTATGAGGGTTTTTGAAGGTAGAACAAGTGTTAAGTCTGGGGCCAGAGAGACAGCTCAGCAGTTAAGAGCTCTTGTCCTTGCAGAGGACACAGGTTTGACTCTCAGCACCCACGTGGTGGCTTACAACCATCTCCAACTCCAGTTCCAGGAATCTGACATCTGATTAGATTTTCTTTCATTTTATAAAGACTTTTAATTTTATTTTTATGTGTAAAGGATTTGTCTGCATGTCTGTCTATGTGCCATGTGTGTGCAGTGCCTACAGAGGCCAGGAAGGTGGTGTTGGAACCCAAGACTGGAGTTACAGACAGTTGTGAACCATCATGTGGGTGATGGCAATCAAACCTGGGTCCTTTAGAAGAGCAGCCAGCGCTCTTAACCTGCTTTCTTATACACCCCAGGATCACCCGCCTGGGGGTGACACCATCCAACATGTGCAGGGCCCACCCACATCAAGCATTATTCAAGAAAAGCATGCCTTTAATCCCAGCACTTGAGAAGCAGAGGCAGGCGGATCTCTGTGAGTTCGAGGCCAGCCTGGTCTCCAGAGTGAGTTCCAGGATAGGTTCCAAAGCTACAGAGAGAAATCCTGTCTCAAAAAAACAAAACAAAACAACAACAACAAAAAGGCCAACAGTTGTACCTATAGGCCAGTCAGATGGAGGCAGTTCCTCAACTGAGCGCCCTCTCTTCAGGTGACTCTAGTTTGTGCTGACAATAAACTAAACAGTACAGAAGCCAACCTGCAATTTAATCATGTGACTGTCTGTTACGCTTTATCTTTTTCTGTAAACTTACACTCAGCAGGCCTCACATGATGCACTCTGGCCATCTGTGCAAACGGTACACAGAACTAACTAGAGCCCTCAGAGCCTACACAGCTGATGTTTGTGATCATTTTATTCTCTATCAAGGCAGGTTTTGAAATCTAAATTAGGAAGAAAATACTCAGCTTTAAATTATTATCATGATTTTATCACTAATTTGCTAATGGGGAAACAAGCTTCACAATAATTGTTTCTGAGAGTGTAGCATCTCTGAATTAGACAGTAAGCCAGAAGATGATAATGGAAATGATTTAGAGACAGTGACGACTACAAGAGTTCATATTGGTTTCATTCAGAGACATGATTTATCCTCCAGTTCATTTTTAGTTGTGCTTAATGATGAAAGGCTCAAAGATCCCAGTGGTGAGGCGCAGAGGGTAAAGGAGCTTGCCGCCAAGCCTGACAACCTGAGTTTGATCCCCAGAGCCCCCTTGGTGGAGGAGCAAGCTGTCAAGTTGTCCTCTGACCTCCATACGAGCACCATGCCACTTGTACACACATACAAGCAAATAATGTAATACACAAATTTTAACCCCAGTTCCATATATACTAAAACGTAATTTGGCAGCTATGACAATAAATTCTATGACATTCGCATATTTCATGCCATACATATGTAAAGCTTTCTATATGCTTACCAAGGAACCATAGGTTGGTCCTGTTCACTAATTATGTGTGAAGGTAAGTCTGTTATTCCACTGCCCAGACACAAGTTCCTGTGCCCAATCTTGTCAGTGCTGTTCTTCAAGCTTTAATTGCAAATTAAAATATTTTTGTGCATTTTTTAAAATTAAGGTGTAATTTGCATACAGAAAGAAAAACATCTTTTTATGGTATTTTGAGGCAGGGTTTCTTTGTATAGCTTTGTCGTGGAACTCAATCTGTAGACCAGGCTGGCCTCAAACTCACAGAGATCCTCCTGCCTCTGCCTCCCCAGGGCTGGGGTTAAAGGTGTGCGCCACCACCGCGTAGCAGATTTTCCCTTTAGATTTATTTTTATTTTTGTGTGTGTGTGCCTCTGTGTGTGTGTGTGTGCGTGCGTGCGTGCGTGCGTGCGTGCGTGCGTGTGTGCGTGTGTGTGTGTGTGTGTGTGTGTGTGTGTGTGTGTGTACTTGTGTATGCTGGTCCTGCAGAGGCTCAAGGAAGTTATGGGAACCCTTAGAGCTATGGTTACAGATGGTTGTAAGTTGTCTGATGTGGGTGCTGAGAACCAAACTCTGGGTCCTTCTAGAGAACAACAAGTGGTCCTTCCTAACTTCTGAACCATTTCTGCAGCCACATATCGCCCTCCTAGTTCACCTTTTCTTTAACCTCCTGCCTAAGCTTAAATTTCAGTTTAGAGGCTTTTGTAGATTTATTGTGTTCTTTTTAAAAATTGCTTCTTTTTATATTTTGCACATACTCATACTTTCAGGGCTTTTTAGAAAAATCTTAGCTTTGTATTGGTGTCTGTCCATCCCGATATTGGAAGTCTTTCCAGAGCTAACAGTGCTGTGCCACTTGATTTTTTTCAGGGCGCTTGAGCTCTGTATAGAAAACAGGATTTTTAATGGTTTCTAGTCTCAGTGCATTGTCTATGGCAGTGGTTCTCAACTTTCCTAACGCTGTGATCCTTTAATACCATTCTTCACATTGTGCTGACCCCCAACCATAACATTATTTTCATTGCTACTTCATAACTAATTTTGCTACTGTTATGAGTTGTAATATAAATATCTTTATGCAGGATATCTGATATGTGACTCCTGTGAAAGGGTTGTTAGACCCCCCAAAGGGGTAGAGACCCACAAGTTGAGAACCGCTGGTCTATGGGAACTGATTCAGGAGTAATGATCCGAAGGTTCTGGAGTTCAACAGTAGTCACTAACAACATGTAGCCCTTTAGCTTTAAAAAGTGTGCTCACAGTCACAGTAGCCACATTTTAAGTGTTCCATGGCGTCATCTCTTAAGGCCACCATATTGGGCAGCTCTGACATAAAACACCTCCATCATTTCCAAAGATTCTGTCATAGCTTTTTGCTTTTCCCTTGCTTGGCACCACCAGCCATCATCAGCCTGAAAAACCACTTTAAACTGAGCTCTCAGCCTGAGGGTTTATAACTGTGCAGGTGTATGCAGTTGAGCTGCAGAAGTGAGTGAAGCCTGTCTAGAGACTGCTAGCTGTCTCTCAGCATTGTAATCAGCAGACACCTACAGATAATAGATCTTGTTCCTTTGCTCAGATGATGAGAGTAACATTGAAATTGCCAGAATGGATTCTGGAAGTCCCTGTATGCTGAACGAACAGCATCCTTTGGTCTTACCTCGAGTGCCACAGTCCAAGGTGCTGTCCATCACCTCAAATCCGGTAAGCCCCAGAACAGATTGTGAAAACCCAGAACTGTTGTTGCCAGAAAAAGCTTGCCCGGGTGTTTGCCTTGGTTATATTGTTTCTGGAAAGGCTTATAACAACATAGTCATGTAGTTATATTAAGAGATGGTTTCTGTGGGGCTGGAGAGATGGCTCAGTGGTTAAGAGCACTGACTGTTCTTCCAGAGGTCCTGAGTTCAATTCCCAGCAACCAGATAGTGGCTCACAACCGCCTTGAATGAGATCTGGTGCCCTCTGTTGGCACGAAGGCAGAAGACATAATAAATAAATAAAATCTTAAAAAAAAGAGAGAGATGATTTCTGTGTAGCCCAGTATTTTTTTCTGTTGTTACAAAATTTGCTTGTGGCTACTATTTAGGTTTTCTTTTCTCTTGTAAGCAATCATAATGTTTCTCTCTCCCATATGGGAATGGTTATTAATTTTATGTCCACCAGCTGTCACATAGACATACAGAACAAAGTAAAGAACCGTATTCTCTTGACAGTGCACTTTGTGGGCTACTAGCCAACTGTCCTAAAAGTTAAGGCACAAGGTGGGGGAGGTATAAGTAACCTAACTGGAAACACTAACTTTGCAAACTTAGCAAATGGAGCAGGTGTCTTCACCAACCAATGTCTGCTTTTGACACATAGATGAGTTTCTGTCAAGCAAGTGGTCACCAGCCGAACGTGAATGGCCTCTTGGTTCATGGGATGCCTCTGCAGCCAAGGAACCTCTCCCTGATGGATAAGCTCCTGTAAGAAGTTCGGCTTTTCATTTACTGTGAGCTCCATAGAATGCTAAGAAATAGAGGAAGGCAACACCAGTGACCACCATGCCACTGAGTAGCAGACACGTCCAGGGTGGAAAACATGTAAGGGAAGAATACCCAGAACCTGGCCACATAAAGCACTGTGTGGCTGAGTGTCATGTAAATGCTGGCCGGATGGATGGCTGTGTAGACCCAAAGGAGAAGGCATTTTGATGAGTCCTTGTCTAGGAATTTAGAAAATTACCAGGCTATTCTAGGTAAGAAGAATGGTGTGTGAAAACACTTGGAGCTGGAAGTATATTGAATACTTAGGAAAAAGCAGACCATCTTGGTATAGGAGGTTTGTTTATGGAAAGATAGGTTTCTTTGGGTTCTGTTTTAGTGGCAGGCCACCTTCAGAGAATGTGGAGAGATCAGATTTGGAGACTGACTTAAAGGTCACCTAGTGAAAGAAGGTAATTGAACTCACAGGCAGAAAAGGAGCTGAGAGGACAAAACCCTGACAGAGGGCAGCTTAAGCCCATGGCTTTTTTTGTTTGTTTTTAGAGACAGGGTTTCTCTGTGCAGCCCTGGATGTCCTGGAACTTGCTCTGTAGACCAGGCTGGCCTCGAACTCACAGAGATCACCTGCCTCTGCCTCCCGAGTGCTGGGATTAAAGGTGCGTGCGCCACCATGCCTGGCTAAATCCACACCTTTGTAATTAGAATATGGTGAGAGTGAATTGAGAAAAGAAGACGTGCCTGAGTGGTTACTTAGGAGACCAGGAAGATCTCTAAGTCTCAGGGGCTAGATCTTGGGCATTCTCCTTCCCAAATCCTCCAGACACGGAGGCCCTGGGTATAGCCCAAGCCTGCAAGGCTGAGCAGCCAAGGGGCAAAAGCAGGCTGCTCACCTCTTAACTCTCACTCCATGTTGTCTTAGAGCCATCAGACTTCCTGGTATCTTTATAAATCAAACAAAACCAAAGCCACTGCCACATTTGTAGGGCAGCATTGGGCATGATGTTTGTCTGGGAGAGTTGCACCCTCAGTTGTTATGCATACAGGGATCTGCTGTGTTCTTACTACCATGGGCAGCATGCGGCAGGGACCCTTTGCTTGTTTCCCGCTTCAAAGACTCCAGGATTGAACATACTCCTGTGGGTTCCAATTAGCGCAGCACTTGAAAGGCTTATTTTTTATGTGTATGTATGCATGTTTTGCTTTCACATATGTGTGTGCAGTGTGCACAGAGCCCAGAAGAGGGAGTTGGGTCCCAGAAACTTAACTCGCTATTTCAATATCAAAGTGAGAGCCACACTGGTGCCTCAGATCTAACCCCGAGGACACTTCCTCAGCTCAGAAAGGGCTTCAACTATTGTAGGACTCTGTGCCTGTCAGCCTTGCCTTCCCCACAACTGAACAAGTGACTGTGTGGCAAGTGGATCATGGGCATTTCCCCAGATCTCCATTCTAGTAAGTTAAGATTGAAATAGGTCGCTATAATGCAAGCACTGGAGAGGCCAGGCAGAAGTATCTCAAGTTCCATCCCAGCCTAGTCTGTCTAAGAAGCCCCCATATCAAAAACAGCCTCTCATGCCAGAATCCTGATAACCTCTGGAAGCCACTGTTTTTTTGTTTTGTTTTTGTTTGTTTGTTTGTTTGTATTTTGTTCTTCCCTGAATGTCTTAGATTAAGGCTTTTTATCCTGAACCTTGTCTTCTTTTTTTGAACTTTGTCTTCTTTTACATAGTGATTTTCATTGTGGGTTTCTGATTTGGCCACTAGAGATATTGATGACAAGCTACTTATGAGGCCTGGCTCCAGTTCCGTGCTTTCAAACCGAAATTGGCCAAACCGAGCCCTGGAGCTTAGTACGTCATCTTTGTCATATACAGCACAGTCCGCCAGGAGACGCAACCCCCCACCCCGCACCCTTCACCCGATCAGCACAAGCCACTCACGAGCCGGGACGCCATGGCCTGCAGAAGAAATCCTCAGAGGATCCCGAGGGTAGGTTTCAAAAGCAGAATTTCTGAAACTGGTAAAACTATTACAATAGTTATGGGAATGAGTTTGAATGAAAGATTGAAGCTATGCCTAGAAACTAATAATTAAGTAGTCACACAATGGATCGTCTCTGGGTTTAAATCCAATTCAAAAATTTTATTTAAGTTTTAGTGAAATACAAATACTGGATAGATCATTCTGTTGATTCTCCTGAGATTTGTATTTGTGAAATTTAAGGGAGGAAAAAAAAAAAAAAACCTTTGCAAAATCGCTTTCCCTTTTCTGACAATCTAGGTAGCTTAAGGCTCCCTGAGCATATTAGACTTAGTGACTTCATTACTGCATTTCTCATCAATCTGTCTGTGTTGTTACAACTTTGCTTTTGCATCTCGGTTTTCCTGGTGGGCTCCGCAGTCCAGTGACTGCAGACACACTCTCTTCTCCCTCATCAATGCCCCTGGGTCGGAACAATCTGCTGCCACCTATTGGAACAGCTGAAGTGGAACATCTGAGCACCTTGGGGCCACAACGGCCATCAGTAAGTCTTGTCACACAGCCTTTCCGTGCTGTGCACGCCATCCTGAAATCTCACGGGCAGTGGCCTTCACTCTTCCTCCACCAAACATAGACCGGGTTCTAGGCCTCGGCCCTGGGGTTGGAGCTGTTGGCAGCAGGTACCACAGCTGTTGATGTGGGGCAGGGTTGATGCCCAGCACCAGCGACACTGTTAGCTGTTTCTCCTCTGCAGAAGTCCCACGGTGACTCCAGCAGAGCTCGAAGCGCAGTGGTGGACGAGCCCAACCAGCAGCCCCAAGAGAGGCTCCTTTTACCTGTCTTCTCTAGACCCAACACAACTCAGTCATTTTTGGTAAAGTGCTTCCTATTTGTCGGTTTTGGAGAGGGTTAACACAGCATCTAGATAGCCCATGCTGGTCTTGAGCTCCCAAGTGTTGGCGTTACAGGAGATATCTCCCTACCCAGCTCCTGTTGTCCTTGAAGTTGGGGAAAGAACAGGGTGGGAGGCTGTATAAGTTTGGCAAAGTTAGGACTTTATTAACCCTAAGGAAAAAAAGTTGCTATGTTCTAATGATAAAAATACCATTCTGTGTATCTCCTTAAAATTTTCACTGGTCTCCATCCTCATTCTTTTGGTAATAAAATGCCCTATTCATAAATAAAAATCTTCAGCAACTTACTCTGAGCATAAGCAAACACGATAAACTCCAGCGCATGTCCAGTCAGCCTAACTTCACTGCCTCCCCTGCTCTTGTGGAATGTACACCAAAAAGTGGTGTCAGATTGAGGCCTGGGCTATAAGCTAAGTGGCCCTATTCCCGATGGGTGTTTTAAATGCTGACACTTGCCTCCTTGCTCACTGTGCACTTACTAGCCCTGTTAAGGAAGTGTCTGAAAGAACCCTGACCACGGGCCATGAACAGACGGACCTCTCACACCTGTGGTCAGTGCATGGTCCTACCTCATCTGCTTTGTGGCAACAGGGCTTGCAAAGCATAGGGGTGTGATTGAGTCCTGTTTAGTGCTTCACCAGGAATTCAGTGTCCTGCACCAGTTTTCAGAATGGTGGAACTGGTAGCTCATGTATCACAACTTGGCCCTTGAACCATCTTCTACTAACAGTGGTGGAAGTTCATAGCTATGTTTCACAGGGCTCCCATAACAAATGACCACAACATAGGCAGCCAAAACTACAGAAACAGTATTTTCAGTTACAGGAGCTGGAAGCTCTCTGCAAGCTCTAGAGAAGAGCTTCTCTTGCCTCTGTGTAGCTCCTGTGGCTGCCAGCTGTGCTTGGGCTCCACGGGCATGTAGCCTAGCCTAATAGATGAGGCCCAGATCAGCCCCAGGAAGACACTGCTGCCAAAAACAAGGTGGACAGTTCCCAAGAATCACACAAAGGTTAAAATCTGGCATGTGGGTACACGATTACATCACACAGACTCAAATAAAAACTAATTTAAAAAACCATTTGGGGCTGGAGAGATTGCTCAATGGTTAAGAGCACTGGCTATTCTTCCAGAGGCCCCAGGTTGGATTCCCAGCACCCACATGGTAGCTCACAAGTGTCTGTAACTTCCTGGGAAGCATGCATACATGAAGTCAAAATACCTATTGCAAATAAAAATAACAGCCATTGAATTTATGGTCTACGGTAATCCAATAGGACTTTTTTTGTATGTGCATTGGTGTTTTTCCATGGGTGTCAGGAACTGGAACTGGAATTACAGACAGTTGTGAGCTGCCATGTGGGTGCTGGGAATTGAACCAGGGTTCTCTGGAAGAGAAGTCAGTGCTCTTAATCACTGAGCTATCTCTCCAGCCCCTTGAATATGACTTCTTAACTTGATTAACTATATAAAGAAATGGTTTTCCAAAAGAAGTCACATTCACAAGTTCCAGGCTGATGTGAATTTTGAAGGGCACTGTTCAACTCAAAACTTCATGAGGCTTAATTAGAGGAAAGTCACGGAAAAGGCCAAAAGGAAACACGGTTCTGATTCTTAGGATTCACTGTGAACTCCAGAAAACCTAAAACACCTGAATTGGTCTCATAATTAGATTTAGAACATTTGGGTTTTGTTTTATTGTTTTGGTTTTTTGTTGTTGTTGGGGTTTTTTGTTTTGTTTGTTTGTTTTGTTTTGTTTTGTTTTAAGACAGGGTTTCTCTGTAGGTTTGGAGACTGTCCTGGAACTCGATGGTCTCAAACTCCCAGAGATCCACCTGTCTCTGCCTCCCAAGTGCTGGGACTAAAGGTGTGCGCCGCCGCCACCCAGTTCAAACATTTGTTAAGCAGTGTTTATGTTCTATAATTATGTTCTTCCCTTTCAAAATGTAGTTTTAGTTGCCTTAGGAATAAAACTAAACATACCAACACTTCAAAATCCCTTTAAAAAATAAGTCTTTTATAACAGGAAAAATTGCTTGCTTTAGCATTATTTTCCCCATTTTCAATCATAAAATGATTAAGTAGCAACTAAATATAATTAAGAATGTGAGCTCCGAACCTTAGGCCTGGTGCTTTTGACAGAACTCTGTTCCTTGGTGCTAGCAGTCAGTGAACCCCATGAGCTGTGCAGGACTGCTGCCTGCTTGGTAAATGAAGCTTTATAGAAGCAGAGCCACCAAGCCTGTGGCTAAAGTCATTACAGTAGATTCCGTGTGGCCCACAAAGCAATCTGCTAAACCCTGTCTCCACAGTATGGTGCCTTCACCAGGAAAAAAGTCCAGTTGCCTAATCCAGGCTGTCACAGAGACTTCTTCACTCAAGAAATACCAGCAGGGTGCCTCCCTTTAATTTTTACATTTAAAATCCCTTGAGGTAATTTTGGTAATTTGGGTTCCCCCCTCCCCCAGGGTTTTTCTGGGTAACAGCCCTGGCTGTCCTGGAACTCATACTATAGACCAAGCTGGCTTTGAGCTCACAGAGATCCACCTGCCTCCCAAGAGTGCTGGGATTAAAGGTGTGTGCCACTTGGCCTGGTGTTTTGTTTTTGAGACAGTTATTACTGTATAGCTCTGGCTGGTCTTGAACTTACAGAGGTTTGCCTGCCTCCACTTTTGCCTCCTAATTGCTGGGATTAAAAACATGCACCACTACAGCCAACCGGGGTAACTTTGAAATGAGTTTCATAAAGCTAAAAATTAAATGGAAAGTTAAATTTCATTGCATGATGAAATCATAGGTGTACTTCCCTGTCACCAACAGTGCTGATTCTATTTAAATGGCATGCTGGAATATCAGATGGCATTCTCTTGGCCAGTTATGGGGATGCAAATCTACAATCCCAATGGAGGCAAAATAAAACATCCTTTTGTATCTAATTGCAACATTACACCATATGGATTATTTGTAAATGCTGGCTTTTCTTAAAAGACATATTAATAAAATTATAGAACATTCAATTCTTGCAAGTTAGCAAATTGCTTTGTGGACATCTGTCTTGGAACTTTTTTCTTGGAATTTAACATAGTGCCCTTAGGTTGGCAGATGACAGTTTTTCATTGTTAATGTCAAGGTTTTCCTGTGTGGTTTGAGTGAGATCTTCCCCATAGTGTAGGATATTTGAATACTTGGTTCCTAGCAGTGGTACTGTTTGGACAGTTTAGGAGGTATGGCCTGGCTGAGGAGTATGCTATTGAGGATGTGTGGAGAGTTTAAAGGCTCCCACCATTGCTAGTTAGGTCTGCCGCCATGCTTTCTGCTTCCCTGCCTTGAAGGCCTCAGTCAACCCTTCCTTCTGTTAAGTTGCCCTGGTCATGGTGTTTATCAAAGCAGTAGAAAAATAACTAATGCACTCTGTAAGTCTCAAACAAGGGTCTTTGGGAGAAGCTGCATCCTAAGACATCTTTTCTCTCCTTTTAGCCAGACACACAGTACCGAAACTCCTGTGCATCTGAGTTTCCTCACCAGGCCCGACCTGGCAGGGGTTCTGCAGGTACAGGTGGGGCTGCAGTTGTTGCAGTATCTTTTTCTTTATTCCTACACGTCCTCCTTTCTGCAGACTTATCCCTGTGTAAATCAGGTTAGCATCATTTTAGAAGATGGGTGTAAAAGAAAGGCCAGCTGCTCAGAGCCAAAAAGTTCCAGATTTCTGCTTTTTAAAAAATACCAAGTAAATTAATCTTTAAAATAAATTACTCTTTAAAAAATTTGGTGGGGGGGGACTAGAAAAACGGATCAGCGGTTAAGAATATTTGCTATTCTTCCAGAGAACCCAAGGTTCCCGGCACCCATGTCAGGCAACTCACAACCACCTGTGAGTCCAGATCCCAGAGATCAGACTCCCTCTTCCTGCCCCCACAAGTACCTGCACAAATGTGGCACACACTCACAGGTACACACATTTACATGAATAAAAAATAAATGTTTCTTTTTAAAGCCTCCAATCTTGTTATTACATCAGCTACCGTCAGGTATTAGTTTTAAAACTTAGGTTATTGAAATATGCATTTTAGTTTTTAATGAGTAGGCTCTCAAGCAAAACTAGGCTACAGTTTTCATTTTGTTTTGAGACAAGAAACTCTATTGTTCAACCCTGACAGTCCTGGAGCTCACTGTGCAGACCAGGCTGGCCTTGAACTCACAGAGATCCTCCTGCCTCTGCTTCCCAAGTGCTGAAAGGTATATGCCACCACACCCAGCTTGCTTTTACTTCTTATAGTTGTTTCTTCAGCAGGGTAAACTATTTAAACATGGCTTTTAGTGCCTTAGTGAATGTATACCTCTCAGTATTTAGACAGTCTGTTTCCAAATTTAGAGTCCACTGGTAATTTATGCAATAGTTCCTAAAGCATGAACTTTGATGTTTATTGCCAAATATAAACTGTTTACTAATGTTATTCTGTGCAATTCTGTGTCTGACAGGTCCTCAGTTACATGGGTCTACAAAACCTCAAAGCAGAGGTGGACCCATCTCTAGAAGCAGGCAGTGACCATGGGGCAGGTGAGAACCCGCAAGGCTGCAGCAGACTGCAAATTCACGGAGGGTTTCATGCACCAGCGCTCAGGCACCAAATGATGCAAAGCTCCTACAAACAGCAGCTTGGTCCATCTTCAAGAGTTATCTCGGTACAACTGTCTGAGATACACTAGAGTATCTGCCAAAGACTGCGTGGGCAACTGTTCTATGTCCAGTTACTGTCTTCTTTCAGCTATTCTACTGGGCAGTAAAGATTGTACCCAAAAGATGTGACAATGAAAAACACCCCAAATCACTGCTCATGTTGTCTATAACCAATCACCAGTTCGATTCTTGTACAATTCAGCGAGATTACATACATACACACAGATGATTGAGATCACTGGCTTCAGAATATTTCTGCTTATATAATTTCTGGAGAACTGCACTGTTTTAACATATTTTTAGAAGAAAGTGCTGCCAAAAATCTGAGATACTCATCAAATAAATGTCATTCCTAAACTTTAAGCTCTTTATTACATTTCAATTAATTTATTTTTGTGTGCATGCATGTGTGTGTGGACATACATATGGGTTGGAGGACAACTTTCAAGAGTCAGTCCCATCTGAGTTGGGTTGTCTCAGGAGGAAGGTGCCTTTAACTGCTGAGCCAGCCATCTTACCAGCCAAGCTTCCTTTTTAAAAAGCAGAATGAGGGCTGGAGAGATGGCTCAGTGGGTAAGAGCAAATACTCATGTTCAGTTCCCAGCACCCACATGGCAATACAAAAGTACCTGGAACTGCAGCTCTGGGGGATACAATGTCTCTGGCTGCCTTGGGCGCCTGCACTCATGTACACTACCCATATACATACTCATAATTTAAAATAAATCTATAAAAAAAGAAAAAACAGGGGCTGGAGAGATAGGCTCAGAGGTTAAGAGCATTGGCTGCTCTTCCAGAAGTCCTGAGTTCAATTCCCAGCAACCACATGGTGGCTCACAACCATCTGTATGAGATCTAGTGCCCTCTTCTGGCCTGCAGGTATTCATATGCAGGCAGAATACTGTATACATAATAAATCTTTTTAAATTTTTAAAAAATAAATAAAAAGCAGGATGAAATAAAAGAGCTAACTAAAGGTATCAGCATTGGTGTAAAGAAATGTTTCTTTTTCCTAGGACAGCCTATATGCCTTCTTCATTCACACCAGGGTCTTTTGTGTTCATGTTTGTGTAATTGTATGTGCATGCATGTGGAGCCCAGATGTAGCTGGGTGTCCTTTCTGCTTCTCCATATCATTTTTTAAGACAGGATCTGTTGCTGGACTTGGAGCTCTTCATTCATGCACCATAGCAGGGCTTTTTGTCAGTGGTGGGGATCCTCTGCTTCTGCTTCTGATAGGAGTCCTTCACCACTGAGCCAGTTCTCCATTCCAAGGGCACTGCAACTGGAGAACGTCATGTTCTTTAGTTATACCACAAGCTTCTGAAAGGCACTAAAAGTGCAGCAATGGTGTTATGGCTTGAGTCTGTCTTAGTAAAATGGCATTGACTATTGCCTTAGCTATCACACCACTTTGACATTAATTTTCAGAGTAGCTAAATTCAAATGGTTGTCTTTTTTATAAGATTTTATTTATTATATATAAAACATTCTGCTTCCATGTATATCTGCACACCAGATCTCCTTATGGATGGCTGTGAGCCACCATGTGGTTGCTGGGAATTGAACTCAGGACCTCTGGAAGAGCAGCCAGAGCTTTTAACCTCTGAGCCATCTCTCCAGCCGCCCAAATGGTTGTCTTTTGAAGGTGACTTAAATTATTCCAAGTTCTTATGCCATCAATTAGATACTCTTTTCCTGTTCTACTTATGCCTCAAATATCCCACACAGAATTATACTTTAACTCAATTAAATAGTTCTAACTGCTTGTGATCCGCCTTAAATTATAATTCCTCACCCTTTTATGTGTGTGTCCCCTCACAGCTAGTACTTATCTTTTAAAAAAACCTGAGTATAAGTCTACATAGCAAATCCCAGGCTAGCCAGAGCTACACAGCTAGACAAAGCAAACAAAAACAAGCCAGGCAGTGGTGGCAAGCACACCTTTAATCCCAGAGGAGGTGGGCCACTGAGTTCTCTGTGAGTTCTGGGACAGCCAAGGCTACACAGAGAAACCCTGGGGGGGGAGGGGGAGAGCAGGGACACAACAACAACAAAAAACCCAGGTTGTAACACAAACACCCTACTGTACTTAATACATACAAATTAGTGAGTTTGGACCTCGCTCTTACGAATGACGAATGAAAAGTACAGACAAGCCCAGTGAATGCCTGACCCTGAACCCTACAAAGATAGCACTGTGACATCCGTCTTTGCCGCAGAAGTCAGCCTGTCAGTTGTAATACTGACTTGATTACTACACTGTACTTTTTCTAGACCCATGGGTCATTTAAATCATCCACCAGACCTTTTAAGTTTCTCTTTATTTAGCCATATACAATCTTACAAAAAAAAAGTCTGCAGTAATATGAACACCCACTTCTCCTACCACAAGGACAGAAGACAAAACATAACAGTAGAACAGGAAAAGAGAATCTCCGAGGATTATTAAGACAGATGTTGAACAAGTGTTGCGAGGGTGTTTTCCGTAGGTAGAGTGTCTTTTAGGAGCATGCATATCAGATGGCCCATGGAAGCAAATGTAGTCAATCCACCCTCCCAACCATCACAACTACATCCTGCATGTGAAGAAGCCCTTGCACAAGGTCAGGTGAATTCTAGGAGACATAAGATCAAACTGATGAATCCTGTCTGGCTTAAGTAATCCACGAATTTGAAGCAGAACAAACTCTATTTCTTTTCCTTCTTGGGAGCCGTTCTTTTCCCTTTGGAAGGTTTGCAGTATTTTGCTTCCATCTGAGCCAGAAAATTGTCCATTTCCTTTTGCCGATCCTTTTGTCTGCTCTGTTTGAGAAGTTAAAACACAGCTTTTAAAATGCAGCACTGTCCACTGAGACAAAGTATTTCACGGTTAGGAGGGGTTGTGGTCAAGGAAGCACACCAGTGACTAATAGTTTGTATGGGCTTCCTCTGCAGTGGTAACAATGTTCCAGAACCAGTGGTGGCAGCTGCACAACTTGGAGAGGGAAAAACTACCTAACTGTACATATGATGTAAGTTGTGTGTAACTGTGCCTTAAAAGAAACACACCAGCCTCCTTTCCAAAGGGCATACACACAATAAGGGATGGTGAGAGGACTGTGAGGGAGCCAGAGGGAAGCCTGCCACGTTTACCTGGATGAGTGCTTTCAGGTTATTCACTCCTTCCTGCAGCCCCAGCTCCTTTCTGCTCAACTCGGCCTCTTTAGCCTCTTTCTGAGCCTAAACAGAAAAGTTTCATCAGACTTCATGGCAACCAAGAAATAACGAAAATACACATCACCGAGACACATGGATAAAATTGCATGTGGTTTTCATTAGAAGATGACATACACTGCTCTGGTTCCAATATGCCCTTTGGTTTTATCCCCAGCTGTACTTCCTAGAGACACAAACCAGGTGTTCACACAAAGGAAAACAGCCTACTAGGTGGATGGGGAAGGTCACATAGCCAGGGACGCCAGGTGTCAAGATTCTTCAGGACCTTCAGCTGAAACCCCATTTTGTACACAGCACTGGTGGCAGCCTTGTGAACCCCAGTGGTTTAAAGGCTCTCTCTGGAGCTGGCTCACTAGTTAGCAGAACTTCTTGCTTTTCGAGGACATGCCGGACACCTACATCAGGTTGCCTGTCACTCCAGCTCCTGGGAATCACAGCCTCTCAGCCTCTCTGGGCCCCCACACTCTTGCACTCCTAGCACACCAGCAAACACACACACACGCAGTTTTCTGAGTAGTTAGGAAAAACATTAGCAAATTCAGTTTCAGCCTTTCTTCAAAGGCTTTAGTCTGACTTCAAAGCTGCCTTCATTTAACAAAATTTGCCAAAATACCAAAAGAACACCTAAAGGCAGCAACTTCAATAATATGAGGCCCTAATTCCTTGTAAAATTTTCTAATAAACAAAGAATTTCATTAATACTGGGGATAATAATAAATTGGGATCTTGTTATTCTGGAACAAAACAAGTTTTGCTTTATTCTCGCCTCTCAGCCCCCCTCAATCCTTTCACACTGGTTAGACAGCTTTCAAACTGTCATTCCCCCTTCAAACTCTCAAGTTTCTCAAAGTAAAATTGTATGTCTGAATCCAGCTGTTCTCAGTTTTACCTGAGAGGATTAACAAGCAGCGGGCATGACTCTAAGCAGATGTAGCCATGCAATGAAATGACTTCTTCCCTCAGAGCAACAGACATGGCAGTCTCTTATCTGGGCAAAACAGGCCCTAAACTCACTCCATCCACAAAGGTCAGATTTCTCTGCAATTTCATGTATCCAAAAGCTCTGGCTCTTTGCCTGTCCACTTGAGCCACAAAAAAGACAATTCATGTACCCACCAGATACGTAAAATCTTAAATTGCTGGCTCCCTGGGAAGCTCTCACTGTGAAAGCCAAGATGAAGCAACTATTGCTTTAATAGCAGTCCAAGGCAATATCAACACAGACATTTGCTACCTTGAATTCCTATGCTACCATCCCTACCAACCCTGGCTTAACAGGGGTATGAAGAATCACAAGTCCCAACCCTCAATTCCTCAATTCTCAGCAATCAGGTGTTCCTCAGAATGGGGGCAGAAAGACTCACTTCAAGTGTGCTTTAAAAAAAAAAAAAAAAAGCAGCAGCAGTAGTAGGTGGGGTCTGGAGAGTTACTCCGTGGTTACACAGAGACCAGAGGTGTAAGATCCCTAGGAGCTGAAGTTAGACAGTTATGAGCCACCCAACCCTGGTGCTGGAAATTGAACTTGGGTCTCTGTAAGAGCAGTACACACCCACTGAGCCACCTCTCCAGCCCCTTAGTTTAAAGTTTTTAATAACTATATGCATTTACAGAATTAAAAAAATCAATCTCTGTTTTCTCCCGCTCTTCTGAGCAGTTTTGGAGACTTAACTCAGGACCTACTACATACTAGACAACCAATCCAGCTCTGATTCACACACCGCCAGCCTGACCCCAGAAGTGGCAATTTCTTAGTCTTGTTGGTGCTTGAGTATCAGGAGCCCACAGTCCAGCATTGCACTCTTAACAGCCATACCATCTTCTCCCTGTTCACCAATCACATAGGGACCACAGTGTTTGCCATGTAACCAGGCTCCTTAGATCTCCCTAGGACAGCTTCAGCAAAGCTGCCCCATGTGAAAGGTGTTTCAGAGTCACTGTATGATGATTTCAAACAATCCATAAAGTAAAATCATTATCAGCACAACATACCAAAAATAAAAAAGAAGAAGAAAACAAAATAACCAGGGTTTTCTTCATGATCTGACAAGAATATCTAGTAGATGAGTGCCATAGGTCAAGCAGCCCATATTTCAGCAGTCTTTATTTCCATCGTTGTAAATACTCCCAAGATCCCTTTTTGAAACAGCCGAGATAGGTTATGAACAACACTCAAACTTACCCTCCTTTTCCTTGCATTCATCTTTTGTTTGGACTCTTTGACGAAGGCATTGTAGGATGGGACCTCTTTGGCATCAATGGCTTGTTGAATGATGTTTCTTATCCTGGGTTCGTCTGTGTATTGCACGCAAAGCACAGACTCCATAATCTGATCCATGTCGCCCTTGAAGTCTAGGTAGGCCTGCTTAACATCAGCTAGCTCTTCTTCAGAGCCTTTGTATGTATTTTCAAAAGCTTGAATGTCCTCTAGCGATATCTAGTAACAAAGAAGATCGCTTTAATTCGAGAATTGTCCTTGTGGGCTGGACGACGGGAATTAGTCAAAGCCACTAAAGCCCTTTTTACCTTTTTAAAGAGTAACCTCCAATACGCGTCCCAGTCCCGGTCTTGGTCGAGGCCAGCAGATTCCTCGTCCACTGTTCCCTGTTCATCGTACACTGCTCTCTGCTCCTTGTCACTCAGAACCGCATAGACTCTCCCCAAGATCTGCAGGCAAGGAGCACCCAAAGTCACCCTGAATCTCTCGCTGACACCGTGCGGCTACAAATGCTTTAAAATGCCAGGCCGGTTATCAGCAGTGCGCTGTCCCGGGGGTGGGGGTCTCCGCGAGAGCGGGAGGAGTCGGGGTGGCCGCCCGAACACGGGCCCACACACGTACCTGGAAGCGGCGGGTGGCGTCCTCTTTCTGGTCCTCGTCTACACGGTCGGGGTGCACTTGCAGAGACACCTTGTGGTAGCCGCGTCGGACCTCACCCTCGGAAGCCTCGCGCCGCACGCCCAGCACCTGGTAGAGGTCGGCGGTGCCGAACACCTGCTCGCATAGCTCCAGCAGCCCCATGACTGGGAAGAGGCTGCTCCGAGAACGCCGATAACCAGCGCCCACAGCCGCTCCGCCCGCCCGCCTCCTTTTCCCGCCCAAAAAAAAACACTGGGCGTCTGCGTCACAGGAGGCGCGTCGTGGGCGGGTCCAACCGCGCTTTACGGTAGCCGCAAAGTGGACTCGATCACGCCTGCGAAAGTAAAATACCGCCCTCAGCGTGCTGACGGCGGAGCCTCCTGCCAACCAGGGCGCGTCCTCTTGGCTCGCGACCCTGCACTCCTCCTTACCCCGAAAGCTGCCTCCGGGTTTCCTGCACAGAAGCTCACTCGATGACACCTGAGATATATAACTGTTTCCCAATAGAAAGCGGTTACTCGGGCTGGCCAGGATGCTCAGCCATACCTGACGACCTCCAGGACCCACACACACATCACACAAAATAAGTAAACGTAATAGAAGTGGCCATGTGTTAGCGTTGAGAAATTTAACATGCTCTACCCACAGATTAATGTGTGTGTGATTTTAAAGATGGTCCTCTAAAGCAGTACAACTACAGGGTCAAAAGACATCATCTTGGATGAACCCCTGAATCCCTGCAGGAAAAAGCCTGTGTGTAACAAAATGCAAAAGCTTAGTTTTTAACTGCCAGGATAGGCTCCAAAGCTACATAGAGAAACCCTGTCTCAAAAAACCAAAACAAAATATCTTTTATCTCCCAGGGCCATATATATTTGACAGTACAGAATTAATCCCATTCGCCTGCTCCAGTCACATTTTTGGTGGACCTAATATTGACTCAATCTCTAATTTTTAACATTTCAGTGGTTTCTCAGCTTTTCCTCCTCCTAGTATCTAAAAACCAAAGCCAATTAAAGTCAGT